TAGCGGAAAGCCCGGCTTATGGATCTTCGTCAATCCGTATGCCCTAGGCGTGCTGCCATCCGTCGTCAATAACATCCGATATGTGTATTCATTTATATACTCCCTCCTTTTCCATCTAACTAATAAACTGCGTACCTCACAAATTATTTTTTTTGTCGGATCCTTCTCAACTCTCTCATGTCAGTATCAGACAGCATATTTTCCATTTTTGAAATATAATCAATTCTATTGAGAGCAACAGTAACATTCCCCTTATCAGCTATACTCTATAGTAATTAAGACTTCAGGATGAAGTTTTTATAAATTCTCTAGATGTTTTTAACCATTGAGATAATAACTTATCCTTATAATCAAGTCTAGGAAACTCGTTTTTTAGTTTGTCAAGCAACGGAATCGAATTATTTCTAAAAAAATTGATAACATTATTCGGACGACCATTAATATTGCTCTCAATATGCTTGATAAATTCAACCAATGTCTTATCGATATTACTCCTATCAATCGGTAGACCGAAACCCTCACCTAATTGCAACAGGTATTGCACTTCTAATGGAAAGTTAACATTACTAAGATTAATGAGCCATTTTTTATTAACCGAATCAAGCGGAGCAGTTTCACCAAAACCATCCGTAGAAATATATACCCTCTCAACCGTCCTGTTTTTTATTGTATCATTAAGTAAATTGTCGGAAATAGTATCAGAAACTTCTGGAGAATTATCCTCAGAAATCCAACTAGAATAGGAAATAGGTTTTATATTAGATCTCAACCTTTTTTGATTCTTTTGTTTCAGCCACTCAATCTTTCTATCAATCTTTTTTGTTTGTTGAAAAAAATACGAACCATTTAACCTATCAAGAAACTTGAAAAAAGATGCGACTGTGGAAACCGGCAAAAACCGAAAAATCTCATGAGAAAACGAAAAAATTCTAGATCTAACTGTGTGCAGTTGATAATATGCATCTTTTAATTCACACTGCAACATTGCTCTTACATTATGAAGTTGAATCCTCTTTAACTTTTCGTAAGAATTTTTATTGTAAAGGAACACGCCATTGAAATTTGCGAATCTATGTAAATGTGGTGGTACAATATTACAACTGATGCAACATCTCAAGAATTTAATGCGGACTCTAACATTAACACACAACTTAACAGTATTACAAATTCTCTTTAAAAAATTAACAGTATACATTCCAAATTGATTTCGAATAGATGAAAAGGTAAACATAATATTCGAATATTCTTGACAATAACGTTTCATTTCGCCCACGTATATAAATTGAATTAGTAATAAGGCTCGAAATAATAAATATATAAACAAGATCAGTAGGGCAACGAGCCAATATAACAAAAACAAGATTTTAGAAAAACGAAGTAATATATATTAAAGGAAAGTTATATTTTCAAAAAATATATCACTGAGTATAAGTACATCATTGATAATGCCACAGAGTGTAAAAATATTGCTGATAATGCCATTACGTCCGCCATTAATTAATAAATCCTTCAAATAAAAGGTTAGACTGAATTCTATAAATATAAAAGTGAACTATAAATTTTCAAAATGTACAATAAATGTAGTTATCAGCAAAATTAGTGAATAGTATAAAGATTGAAATGATCAAAAAATGAAAATTGAAGATCCATAAAATATAATGAATTGTATAAATAATATGTATAAAGTGTAAAATTCGGTAATATAAGTAAAACAGAAATCAATAAAAATATACATACAGAGCATGAATAATAGTAATACAAATCTGAATCGGTAATATAAATAAAAGAAAATTCAAGAAATATACATATATAAAGCATGAATACGATAATAATAAGTCTGCATACAGTAAAAGTAAAATATGTGAAATTTAAAACATAGAGGAAAGTCGCCGATACTGACATAGGTCTCCTAAAGTGACATCCTCTTATTTCTCAGAAACTAGTTATTGCACTTTATTAATACTAATAAAATCATAATCTGTTTAATCTGTCTAATTAAAGAAGTACAAAATTTGTGTATTTGTGACTTGTTTCAATACCAAATGAGCTAAAAACAAATTCTACGAATGCAAAAACAAAATTCTTACAACTTTCTTTTGCAAATTGCATAGTTTAAATAATAGTGACTATATTATTGATAATGTTACGTCATTTTAAATGCTTGTAATTTCTTAAATCAGTTTTATTTATATTATTTTTTCTTTTAGTTTTTTCATATGATTTTAAATTTAAAATTGGGGTGCAGCGTAAACCACCACACCTGTCTGTGTTTAATTTTTACATAGCATTATTGCCTACTGTGTCAGTTTTGGAGCCCATTTTGTTAGACACTCATTTCTGCTTATCTTACGAAAAAATTAATTTATTGTCAGTCAGTGAGTAATGAAAATAACGACCTGTAGGAAACAAACTAAGGAGATGGTATAAAAAGGGTAAAAAAGGAAGAGGAAAAATGGAAACTAAGAGGGGGAAAGGGATTGTATGATAGGAAGATAGGGGGGATGAATATGGGAATGAAGCAAGGGCCTGAATATATCCAAATTTCTTCTTTTCTATCATCGTTTCTCGTCATCGAATTTCTACAAATAGTTGTCCTTGTTTAACTTATTTTATAATTAACCGTTTTTATATATTAATCTTTCAACTTCGAGAATGACCCAATCGGAGTCGAAACGTTAGTTTAATGCAAGCATATTTGTATTTTTATTTTTACTTTTATTAAATGTTTGTTTTTATTACGTACATTATATTTTGTTACTTTGGCTCGTAGCTCTTCTTAACATAATTAATTTTATTTTCATTATTTGAGCCATATTATATTATGTATTCTAATTAATAACATTTCTATTAGTTAATACATCAAATACAATAAAGAAAGCCAAGAACAATCAAAGTTGGATGTTCCAAATAACACATTATATATTCTTACATTAAATTAATTTATTTTAGATATGATTGGGAGCCGAAAAACTTTCAGTTTCAACACAATCATTCAGAGGTCCAATTCCACAACAGCTCATGGTTAACTCTTAACCGAGATTCAATTTATTCATTGTCTCTTTCGAATTCTAGAATTGGAAAGAGATGAGAAACAAGTTGAACCTTGGTTAAGAGTTAACCATGAGTTGTGGAACTGGGCCTGAAACGCTAATAATCCCCCCTAAATTAGAATAGACAGAAAGTAAGAAACTTATTGCGAAAAATATTACCTCAGCCAGGATTCGAACCTAGGACCTCTCAACTTTCCGGGAAGAGTGTCTTAGCCAGCTCGATCACTGAAGCTTCGGAAATATTCTTCGCAATAATTGATATGTATAGAGAGAACGCGTTGTATGGTTATTAGTTAATAGATATGAATTAAATATACAAGAAGGCATCTTACTTATCTTGCACATATAACTTCACAGTTGAGCTGATCACAAATATTGAAGCTAATGCAACAGTCATCAAGATCTGAATACTCAACAAACCATAAACTTTCCGTAAGAAACCTAAATTAAATTCATAATTAGAATGAGCATTAAATATATGGAATTCATATATTTATTATAAATGAGACTAGTTACGACATCACAAATATAGTTTACAAGTAGATATCTTAACAAATGTTATGAATATTTTATGGTAACATATGTCCATATAATTTTGAATTTCTCCAATATTATACATTACCCATTCGTATCTTGATATCTGCATTATGGACGTTATTCCTGTAAGCAAAGTCATCTTGTATGTCATGTTCGGATTGCTCCTTGCCACCCCGTTCAACATCCTCTTCCACCAACATCAAAGGAACAGTGGCCATTTTTGTTTTTCTGAATAAACAATTTAGAAAATAGAATTAATAAATTGGAACCATAAAACATGTGAAAAGAATTTTATCAGTCTTCATGAATAGTATAAATTACGGTCAAAAAATTAATGATCCTGTTTACATTTAACTATTTTGGCATTATTTTATTTTTAGAAAACAATATTGTATAAAAAGTAATAATGACAACCATTTTAAAGATATTCTCAAAATGTCAATTACACATATTATACGATAGCAAAACGAACCTAAGTTTCTTTGAAGATCTTCAAGGGCTGAATTTACGTTGCCAAGTTGAGTTTATATAATATTTAAGTAAAAGAATTATCTGACACCATCGTTATACGCAAAACGGATAAATGGATTAAATGGAACGACGACACGTCTGTCACAAAAATTCACGAGAAAGGATCGAAATAATCAATTCAGCGCCATCTAGAACAAAAAACTGGAAACTCAAGAGGTCTGTCGTGTTGCTTGAAATCCCCAAAAAATTATGCACTTCATTACGAATATTCGAGTGAATCTGCTCACTTTTGTAATTTTCCTGGGAGTCGATTGTGTATCTTAAAATTAATAGCGTTTTCGGCCCGATCGGGTTTGCACCAACCTGGGTTGGATTAATCTTTCCTATTGGTTGACGTCACCCGCTCTACCAATAGGAGAGCACAAAACGCTATTAATCCAACCCAGGTTGGTGCAAACTTGGCCGGGCCAAAAACGCTATAAATGAAAATTGCAAAAGTGAGCAAATTCACTAGAATATTCATAAATTTAATTGGTCATTATCTAATGAATTTGTTCACTTTTGTAATTTTCAAGCTACGCAATCGAATCCCTGAACATAGCCTAGAAGATTTAAGGAGAACCTCTAGAGCTGCTTTAGGGGAAGTCAGTAAAGGCATTTGGCAACACTGTATTCAATCAAGGCATGTTCGGAAACATCATTCGAGTTGACTATTCGGGCAATTCGGGTGATGTTGTCGAAAGTAGCTGAAGTCTGAAGTTGTCTTTCTGTTATTTCGTATCATTTGTGACGAATTTGTAATAAAAATTTTCGAAAAACGTACGGAACCAATTGCTTTACAACGAAAAACACCGGTAAACTCGACTCATTTAAAAAAAAAAAAAAACAATTGCAAGACATGGTAAATGTAACAAAGGGCATTTTGGTTGAATGGTACGTGTGTTGTAGAAAAAATAATTTATTCAATTTATTGACAACCAGTTGCATGAACCAACAATCAAATTCATTCTTTGTAGTCTAAGTCCTCGGGAATGTTAAACTGTTTATTAAGATCTTGCTCCGAAATGCAAAATTTATTCTTGCACCAGCTTTGTATAGAAAAAATGTTGTCCGTCCATGTATTGGTCCCATCTTTGTATTTCTAAACAAATGTTATCATAACAAAAAAGCAACAATTGTAGCGACACCAACAAAATAGCTTCCTTAATAATTTCATTGAAATCTAATATTGTGTATCATGCATACTATGACAGAATAGATAGAAACGATACTCCAAAATGTCTTTTATTGCTACAAAAAGAATAAGACGTTAAAAATAAAGTTAAAAGATCTATTATATTTGATAAAATATATCTAATATATATTATATATAACATATATTGAGTTTGATTGTACCTGTGCTTTTTTCTCCATTTCTGCAATTACTTCTGGATCGACATTGCTGAATTTTGCAATTTGTTTCTTTATCTCTTGTTCTTCTTTCTTTAGCTGTTCTACTTCTTCCAATAGCTTTCTCTTCTCTTCTGTATCATTCTTCAGTTCCTACATGAAATATTTTAGATGAACAAGAATAGAATTTAAATTTAACAAATTTATGGATCTTTTCTGTAACTCTTAACTGTATTGTTACAATTACAGTCGTTAGGAATTACAAAATAAGCCTCTAAATATGTATTTACTTTTTCTTTCTGTACTTCTTCTTTCAGTTTTTCCAGCTTAAATTCTACTTCTACTAGCTTTTTGCTTGTATCAGCTATTCTGCGTTCTGTTGTAGTAATATTTTCTCTGTAAAATATTATTTCTTGAGTATCTCGTTTTTTTCTCTATGAATCATACATAGCTATACAATTTTCTTGCAATATTACCCTGGGAATCTCCAGAAATATGTGGAAGTACCAATTTTTTCAGATCGTACCAAACCATCGTCCACTAAAGCTTGTAACACATCTTTGACAGCTTGTACTACGATGTTCTTCTCCTTTGGCGCGATCTTTTCGAGTTCCTTCAGTGTGAAAAATTCTTTCTTCTCATAAAATATTTGCAACATTCTCATACGTTTCTCATCAAGAGAAACTCCTTTTCTTTTTGACATGGTATCTATATATATTTATAATAAAAAAATATTAAACATTCAAACAAAATTGTATGTGTTTAGTGATGCAGCTATGAAACAGTTTCTTCTACATTTGGATGAAACATCTGCACTAGGAAGAAAGTTCATAATTCAAGATCTGGATGAGAAACATCTATTCATATCTGCTGATATACTGGAAACTTTGCAAGCTAAAGTAGATGATTTAATGGATCAGATATCATTCCCATTGGCAGAGAAAGGTGTATAAAGAAACAACGAAAGCCACTTTTTGAGGTGTATAATATTATATAAACTTGAAAAATGTCTCGAGAATCCGGTAGAATAAAAGACGCGAGTCAAAAGAGGATTCTTGATGAGGCTGCACGTAAACGTAGACAAAAAAAAGCACTGGAAGCATTGGAACAAGATAATTTTCATGATGATCCACATGCAGACTTGGGTATATACCATAAAAATGCTTGTTTCTTTTCGAAATATCATATGTTGAAAAATATTTTTTTTCTTGTTTTAGTTATGAGCAAGAAAATACCAAAATTCCAAGAGACCCTGGACAATAGGAGTAACAGTAGAAAGAAGAAAACCCGTTCTGCAGAATATTACAAGCAACGTTTTCGCAAGACTTTTGCTCAGCTTGTTGAAGAAGATCTCAATGTGAATCCTAATTCGCCAAACTACGCTAGCGCTCAAGCACCATCGTCTCGTTTACCCGAGAGACATTTCTGTGCAGTGTGTGGTTTCCCTAGTAATTATATATGCATACCTTGTGGTGCTAGATATTGCTGTGTCAAATGTCTAGGTACTCATCTTGACACAAGATGCATGAAATGGACGGTTTAAGAATTTTGATTTTATTCACACGCTTTCCAAAGTTTTTAATGAAAGTAAATGTATGAAAAATGCATCTCAAAATCTGTTTTATTTTAAATATATTGTTTTAATAAAGTAAAAATAATCATAAAAAAGGCCCAATAAATTCTTTAAGTGAAATGGTAACAGTATATAAAAAAATTCACTAGAAAATTAATTAACTGTAGTTAAGTAATACACTGTACCTGAAGTGTATGCATTAAGCTTATGTTTTGCTAATAGAATCTGCAAAAATAAGTAGATATTTACTTTAATTCTTTTATCCCAAATTTGAATAATTGAGCATAGACCTTTGGATAATACATAATGCACAAGGCATAAGAAAATTAAAGGTATATCCACACAATTTGCATAGCCACATAAACGTATGCATAAAGAAAATTATCCAATCACATTTGATATGCGACTTTAAAAAAGAAATGCAATTGGATAATTTTCTTTATGTATATGTTTATGCAGTTATGCAAGTTTGTGAGTGTGGATATACCCTAACCAATTCAAGTCTTTTATTTCATGGAAAGGAAAAAAATGAAAGATTTCAATTAGTTCATTTTCTTATGTATATTATGCGTTATGCATGACACTGCTTCCGCCTTTAAAGTTGACGTTTGTGGAGGTTAGAAAATTTGTTATACTAACCAAGAAGGAAGACTAAGGAGACTCCACTTACGTAAATAAAAATAGACCCATTTTGCGTTTCGAGTTAAGTTTCGATTCTCGACACTCGCGGCGCTTGTGAACCTTTAAAGACCTGCGCGTAATGAGTAGAGTGGCATTGTGTGTTCTCCTGAGGAATATACTTTAAATATCCAAATTCTTCTTCGAAAATTGAAGATAAAAGTGTTTTTCAGGAAAAAAGTCCTGGAAAGACTTTCCTTATTTCTTGTTTCTTTCTTCCTACCATATTTAACTACGGCGCATTTATTACGCACAGGTCTTTAAAGATTCACAAGCGCCGCGAGTGTCGAGAATCGAAACTTAACTCGAAACACAAAATGGGTCCAATTATCGAAAACTGGCTAGTGGAGTTTCCTTATGCTGGATTCACACTGCATCCGACTTGCGTCGTACGACGCTCTGCAATCAATCAGAAAACAGGATTCCGATGGATTTTGCTTCATATCATCAGAATCCTGTTTTCTGATTGGTTGCAGAGCGTCGTACGACACAAATCGGATGCAGTATGAATTCAGCATTAGTCTTTCTTCGTGGTGCTTAGAATCCTAGATTTATCAGAGAGGCACAACCGGTGTTATGCATTCTGATTCGCTGTTGCAATCTAACCAATTGCGTGACTTGGCCAATTATAGTCTAGTGACAGTAGTGAAATATTTCTATTCCATTTTATCCTATACGTCTTATCTTGTTTGACATAGTTTAAAGGCAGTTTCATAGCATGTCGGCCATGTTTAGTACTCTCCTTAGCACCTTTGTCATGCTGACTTAAGCCGGTTGCGCCTCTCTGATAAATCTAGGACTCTAGTGGTGCCTTCTAACAAACGACACAAATGACACGGTGTAATTATAGAGCTTATACTACTGGAGCATTATAATAAATGTTGCCAACTCTAGTGAGCTGGCTCCTACTTATAGCGTTTTCGGCCCGATGGGGTTTGCACCAACCTAGGTTGGATTAATGGCATTTTGTGCTCTCCTATTGGTAGAGCGGGTGACATCAACCAATAAGAAAGATTAATCCAACCAAGATTGGTGCAAACCCGATCGGGCCGAAAACGCTATTAGAAACTTCAATAGAATCTATCAGAAATCGACTAAAAATGTAGAAAATAAGATCTTTTTTTAATTTTACTAGCAAAAATTTATAAACAAACGTTTGAAGAAGCTCGTTAATACATCAGTGAAAAAATTTAGAAAATGTTTTTATTTAATAAATATTTGTTTCATATATTTGTACATCATACAAAATAATAGTTATAATTAGAATTAGATCACGCACATAACGCAATCACAAATAAAATTATAAAATAACTTAAAATAAAGGACTCTATATTTGCACATATTCACTAAAAATTCTTAATTATGATTTGCACGTATTGACTAAAAACCTATGCTAATTGCTAATTGCCATAGGCCTTAAAACTCTTAAAAGTCGAAATTAAAATCAATATTATTATCCATCAGGGTACCTATCATGAAATATGTCGGAATGGATTCCGATCGGAATTATTCCGTTTTCCCTAGAAAACACAATAGAAATCTAGGGAATAATTGAATATTTCCAATCGAAATCGATTCCGACTTGTTCTATGAGGCGTCGTCTACAATACACGGAGTAAGAAGTAAGAGTAAGAAATTGACCAATCACAGTCGATTATTCTTCTCACATTCGACTGTGATTGGTCAATTTCTTATTCTTACTTCTCACTCCGTGTATTGTAGACGGGCCTTGATAGGTACCCTGGTTATTAGATATGTAGCAGTCTTTTGTTTTAATTTTTTTTACGACATCCTTCGGTAAATCAAATGTCTTACAACATTTATTTACTTGTTTCGGGGCCACTTTCATCGTCGGTTTACTTAATCAGCCTAGTAATTGTAATGAGATAGAAAGAGATAGAACTATTTCTATCTCTTTCTATTTCATTACAGTTACTAGGCTGATTAAGTTAAGGGGGCCGGGTTGTTTGAAGGGTCAAAAAATCAACGATTTTTGTGAATTTTTTGTGGATAAATAGATACAGCTATCAATTTTAAATTTGAATCTATATTTTATTTGTACTTTATACAATAAGTATGAATTTTTATTAATTAAAATATATAGAAATGCCCGAGTGGCAACAATAGCGGCATTTAACATGAATCTATGTGGACACGTTTGCCGCCATTGTTGCCACGCGGGTATTTCTATATTTTAATTAATAAAAATTCATACTTATCGTATAAAGTACAAATAAAATATAGATTCAAATTTAAAATTGCTGACATTGTGCAGCCAAAACTAGTTGTCTGAAGTAAAAAAATCAAATTGATTTGTAAATAATAATGTTGAATGTATACGCTAAATCTAACAAAATTATAAAAAATCGCGATTTGTTAAAATTACTCCTTTATAAAAAAAAAGATATTTTTTTTACCATTATTTTTCCCATTAAATTGCCAAAAAACTATTATTGTTTTTAAAAATGTATTATTTTTTTAGGTTTAGGATATGAAGAAAATAGTTGTAATTAACGTGTAAAAAGCGGCGATCTGTGCGTTAAGCCGTATTCTCTCTATAATGTCAGCAAATTTGAAAAAACACGTTTCGAAAAAAACGCGTTTAAAGTTTTGAGTTAGAATACTTGTTTTTTTAATACATACATACATTTTTTTTTATTCAGCGATTCCTGGGCCATAATACAATTCATCCTCTTCATGAAACTCATTAATCTGAGTTGAATCTATTTGAATAGAGTCCTCTATACTGTTCTCATCAGACTGTCTGCTTTTGCGACGCATCGAATAAAACCATTGATTGTCCATCATATCGGCGACTGCCTTACATTTCCCTATACGAATTCCCATGATCTCCATGATTTTTAAAACCAAATAGTATCCTTCATTGATGCCGGATGATATAAATGTTGCTATTTCCACAATTTTTTGCTAGAATGGAGGTGTTTTGACGCTAAACGCCAAATGCATGCATTTAAACTGTCACTGGAATTTTGTCCACCTATACACCGTTTCAGAAGGTCTTCTCTTGATAAATCGTTGTAAATTGGCAGCAGTTTTTGAACAAGTTCAGGATCAAGTGGTTTACTATGTTCGTAATTAGTGCCAGTGGCTTCGGCGTGTTTTCATTTGCACCAGTTATCAGTACCGGGAGGACATAACGAATGATTCGGTAAATCATTTGTTGATGTCATGTGATTTAACTATTTATATTATTTTGTATAATGTAGCTATGATAGCTTTCTTCATATCCTCAACTGTGTTATACCTTCTTATTGCTAATCCATAATACGTGGAGAGCTTTTTAACTAGAGCGTCAGAAAAGATACCTCTCTTAAATTTCTTGAATTTTTTTAAATTACAAAGATGTGTGCCCATTCTTTTATGTACGTGATTAATGTCTTCGCATTTTCTCACAATAAAGTCCTCTCCATAAGGTTGCAAATCTAAAATGCCTTTGAAGATTTTGGAATCGCCGTCGCCAGTATAATTTGTGTATTAACTCCATGAAGTTCTTCCGATCTTGCAAACATTTCTTTTATACTGTCCATTTCCATTTTGTCAGCTGACTCTGTATGATTTATGGAGTAATTTTTTTATGTTTATCGAACCAATGTGCATAATCTTCTGTATTTTTATTTTATTTTTCCAATAATTACAACTTTAGCAATAACTCAATTTGACAACTGCATCTATCACTTTGCCAGTTAAACCAATCAACGTATTAACGCCAAAAAGTGAACGAAAACCACGTTTCTTCCATGTACCATCACCCGAAATAGTTATTTGAAATAGGAATTTCCTTCTCAACATTTTTTCGTTTCTCTTCTTCGACAGTTTTTTTAGTTATAAAATTAAAAACACTTTTACTTGCAATATAATTAATACTTATAATCGTTTTGTACACAGTTTGAAAGACTTCCGAGATCCATAAGACTACAAAAAAAACATACGATTGTTGGCTACGGATGATCTTTTTTGCATCAATTCGTCACTCAATCGGCCTTTGGAGTAACATTTAACTATTTCGACAACTCTAAAAGCGTTTGAGATGGATTCTCATCAAGCAATTCTTGCAGCTCGACATCTTCAAATTTTTTCGGCTGTCCTGGACGTTCTTTGTCTCTCACATCAAAATCACCGTTTCGGAAGCGTTCAAACCAAACTCTACATGTTCTTTCTGATGGAGTTCCATCACCATACACTTCGGATAATAAGCGATGCGCTTCAGCTGCGGTTTTCTTGAGGTCGAAGTAGTGAAGAAGCACATGTCGGAAAAACAGCTTATCGCGATTCACTTTCAATCGGAAAATCTTTTTGACGTCGAGAAATCTAATCTGTGAGGATTGAATCACTTTCAGCGATGTCTAAACTACAAAAGACATATGACTTCATCGTCGAAGTTGGAGCCAGCACCCTCTAGGAGCGAGCGGCAGGAATTAAGTTTAACATCTAATAAAATAATAATGTAACATATATTTAGCGTGGACAATTACAAACCTATACCTTACTTTATATTAAATTATGAAATGTATGCGTAGATGCAGTGCTTCTCTCTAAGAACATAAAAGAAACTAGATACACAGATATGAGTTGAGTAGAAGTCATTGTGACTATGTGACGTGTTTAACATTGTAATTGATAAACCACTCACAGCTTATCATAGTGAAAAAGGCACTGATCGCCGTGAGTAGCTATGTTCAATTGCAATATTGTCAAATATGTTGAACTTACCGCTCTCATTCAACATATTTGTTAGCGCATTTCTTTTCTCAATGCCTTCTTTTTTACCTGGAGTAATAGTTTCAATATCATCTTTCGTCATAGGATTATGGTCTTTTTCAACAATTACAATATCATCTAAAAAATCTCCATGTAAAATACAAATATTGTGCAGCACACAACACGCAATAATATATTCAGGTATAAGATCCGTCCGTTTCATATACAACTTATCTTCGAGACTACGAAAACGTCTTTTCAGATAACCGATGGCTTCTTTAATCATTACATGGGCCGAACATAAACGTTCATTAAAATTAATTTGTGCTTCTGACAAATCATTGTCGTTGTTATCATAAGGTACCATTACATGTTTTTGCAGAGCATACCCAGCATCACCTATTAGATGGCTATCATGTGGAAAAAATTTTTCTGTGTACATGGATGGAATGTCACTCAGCCAGAATACACACATATCTTGCATAGATCCTGGTTGTTCTGCATAGCAGTGGATGAATTTTAAGGTGGAATCACATACAGCCTACAACAGATATTAAAATATTTAAACATTCATCAATCTCATAAAAGTTTTATCGTAATTATTCCTTATGTTATTCATTATATTAAACGTATATAACTTACTTGCAAATGTATTGAATAATGACCGTTTCGATTAACGTAATTTTCTGCATGTTCCTTTGGTTTCTGTATACGTATGTGTGTACCATCTATGGCACCAAGTACTTTTGGAAACTTATGTTTGTATTGAACATCCGTCCATGTTTGTTGTGCTTCTTCTATATTGGGCCATTTGATAAATTTATCTGCTAAAGAATATAACGCTGCACAAACTTTTCTATGAGCACGCCAAGCAGTTGCTCGTCCAATATTAAATCGATGACAAACAGATCTATTAATGAAAAAAAATATATGTATATATATAATGAATTCAGTATTAATACTTATTTATTCAATATAATTTTTTATATTTATATATAATTACCTGTATGAATCAGGTGTTGCCATGGTCCATAATGTCACTAATAATTGTAAGTATGGAAAAATTGGACACCGTCCAGATCCGGTTGGCTTTTCTAAGTTGGGTTTTATTAAATTTAATAAGTATGTAAACACTACACGCGATATCCTGTAATTAAAAGTTAATTAATTTTAAATTAAATAATTTTTTTTCTTATTCAAGTAAGATTGTCATACTTTGCATAATAAAAACAATCAGGCTAATAAATGTTCATTTTTGAAGCATATTATACATAAAGTTGAACAATATATTATTTATATTTACCGAAATTCTCTTTTAAACTCGACATCTGAAAATTCTTTCACCATGTCCACATAATTTTTAACACGAAGTTGAATTGTTTGAATTGGTGATAATTCCATTCGTTCATCTTCTTCAGAAACACTATCGCTACTGTCTTTGTCCAAATTTTCCAATGCTATTAAAGATATTGACAGCTTAGACTATATTCCAAAACATCTTTAAAGAAAATTTTTCTCAAAATATATAGTATACATAACATACTCTCTGCTCAAAAAGTACCCGGAATTTTTAAATAAAACGAAAAATTTTAAATTTGAAGATAAATTTATTTTATCCTCTTCAAAATAACCATCATTCAAAGCTATACATATGTGCCAGTGATTAACCCACTCTTCATAGCACTTTCAGGCTCCTGAAGGTACATTATTAGAAATACTTTCTTTACATATAAACATGAAGCTCATGGTTATGAACAAAATTAAAAGTAATAAATAATTTAACTGAAAATTAAGTTACAGTAGTTACTTAAATATAATGAGCGTGTACATTAAATTTCATAGTTTCATAAAAAATACATTAAAGGAGTGTCCATAAGGGCCAATTTTGGCCCTGTCTAAATTTTGTCCAAACTCATGAAAATTCATTTCTTGAGGGTCAATTATATTCAATATAAGTGATTTTAGCTTAAACGGAGCAGTGATGTTGCCATATTTACTCAGAAATTAGTTTCTCTGCTCCGTTTAAGCTAAAATCACTTAAATTGAATATAATTGATCTCGAGAAATAAATTTTCATGAGTTTTGACAAAATTTAAATAGGGCCCTTATAGACTCTTCTCCTTTCATGTATACAAATATGCTTTTCAGTTATAAATACATTAAATTTAATGTAATGTCATGAAATTAAATTCAAATTGTGTAACTTAAAAGTATATTAAATTTCATGAAATTTTTAACATATAGACTTTAGATCGTTCATTGAATTTTCTTTTACGGAATCAATCGAATCAAAACACTTTCTCCGTAATGGCAATTTGAGTCTTGGAAACAAAAAAAGTTACACGTGGGCTGTGTTCAGCAGAGAAAGCAGCTTTGCAACTGTTGTAAAATTCTTCAATATGATTGGTCTTGCCCTTAGTTCCTCATTGGATCTAAATGTATAAACCAATCGTATTCAAGAATTTTACAACAGTTGCAAAGCTGCTTTTTCTGCTGAACGTAGCCACGGTGCCATGTTTGATGAATACAGTGCATGGTCGATGGTATTTGTTGCATGTTTGGTCAAAAAGTCACGTACACGGTACAAGAGATACTTGCTTTGGAACCAATCGCGCTTGAACACGTCTGAGGCCCAAAACTTTGGTTAAAATGTGATGAACCGAACCACTAGAGATGCTAAGGGTTGAAGCAATCTCTTTATCACTCACATGGCGATTAGCAAGCACAATTTTCTTCACTTTATCGATGTTTTTGTCCGTATTTGATGTCAATGGACGCCCAGAACGCGGCAAGTCTTCTACAATTTCACGACCATCTTTGAAAAATTTATACCACTCATACACTTGTGATTTCGAGAGAGAACAGTCCCCGTAGGCTTTTTGTAACATTTTTAATGCGTCGGCACAAGAAATTTCATTAGCAACACAAAATTTCAAGCACACTCTTTGCTCAACTCTTTTTTCCATTATAAAATTCAACGAATATATCTAAGGTAGACTAATATAAACGACTGTTGTAAATTGCTGTAAATAAATTAAGGAGTAAGAGTTAAGAGTGCGGTCACATGGAGTGAGAAATAGCGGAACGTAAAAAGAACGGAAAAGACAAATAGTGGGGGTTAACCAATCAGAACAACTTTTACATGGCAGCGTCAAGCATCAAGGGGCTTCTAACAGTTCTTTAGTCCGGATCTACAATAGGTGTTTTATGCCTTATGCCGTAAGAAACTGACCAATTACAGTCGAATCCGAGAAGAATAAGCGACTGTGATTCGCCCTTTTTAATTGGTCGATTTCTTACGGCTTAAGGCTTAAAACACCTATTGTAGATCCGGGGTTAAGGGCCACTTTCACCAAGCTCAGTTAACTAGGCCGGTTAGTCCATCGGAATTGACCAATCGTATTTGTCATTTTGTTTGAAGACGATTGGCCAATTCCAATGGACTAACCGGCCTAGTTAAGTTAACTGCGCTTGGTGAAAGTGGCCCTAAGGCCCAGTTTCACAACTAAAGGTGCCTTTTCACGCTGACGCTCGACGCTCATTTTCAGCGTCAAAACAGGTCACATGATCAAAATTGACGAATACCAAGCGTCAATTTTGATCACGTGACCTGTTTTGACGCTGAAAATGAGCGTCTAGCGTCAGCGTGAAATCGCACCTTAACGGTTAATTCTTAACCGAGGTTCAACTTGTTTCTCATCTCTTTCCAATTGTATAATTGGAAAGAGATAATGAATAATATTGAATCTCGGTTAAGAGTTATCCGTGAATCGTGAAACAGGGCCTAAATAAAGTGAAAATTACGAAAGTGATCGAATTTACTAGAATATTTATAACTTCATTAATTAACACCTAGTGAGTTTGCTCATTTTTATAATTTTCACTTCGTTTAAAGAATTGTAATAAGCCCCCAGAGCATGAGCAGTAATGTTTAATAATTTTACTAAAATTGAATTTAATGTACGAGGTACACTAATAATGGAATCTTGTAGTTTACACTATACAATGTAAATAAATATATTTTCAGCATTATATGTTAAAATAGTAGTGTATATCAGAACATAATCTCTCATAATTTACCATTTTGCGTCAAGAAGCTGTGCAAAAGATTATTGCGCAGAAGTCTGGAGATTCAAACTTCTGCGCAGATGCTTGCATGTAATGGCACCTTTACGTTTGTTTCGTAACTGGGTTTCACCAACTTCCGTTCCGTTTCCGTAAATATATTTCTCATCATGTGAAACTCAGCTACGAAACAATAATAGAATTGTTCTGATTGATTAATTCTCACTACTTGTCTTTTCCATTCTTTTTCCGTTCCGCTATTTCTCACTCCATGTGACCGCATTAGAATCTGTTTTCTGTTCCTGCATTAGACTGAACTAGAATTCTTTTTCTTGCTTTCGAAATATCAGATATATATCTTACTTTAAGTTCCAAAAGTGTAGACTAGTTCAATCACAGAAAATAGATCTTCAAGTATATCCACACAAACTTGGCATAGCCGCATAAACGTATGCATAAAAAAAAATTATGCAATCACATTTTACGTGCGTCTTTATGGGTCTCTTTCATCAATCTCGGTTAAATTAACTGACAGTTACGTGAGACTCATTTATGCCCGTTTCTTTCCCAATGTGGATTAACTTTATGGTCTCTTTCACCAACTTCTGGTTAAATTAATCGATGATTAACTCGCAGAAGTACCAACAGCAGTTTAAGGTACCCTCTCTCTTTCTCTTCTGTGTTTAGGTCTCACGTTGGCAATCGTGGTGATTGAGTTAATCATCGATTAGCGTTAATCGGTGTTCGTGAAAGAGGCCCATTATTTCGGTTCAACTTACTCTTCATCTTTTTTTAAGTTAAACTGCATTGGTAGAAACAGGCATTAAATGAGTCCCATGTAACCGTCGGTTAACTTAACCGAGCTTGATGAAAGAGACCTTACAGGAAAAATGTGATTGGATAATTTTATTTATGCATATGTTTATGCGGCTATGCAAGTTTGTGTGGATATATCCTTAAATGAGAGATCGCGCTCAAACTCAGCATTAAAGAGTGCTTTCCATTTGATGACACAAGTCGACGCAAGTATCGTTCTAACTTTGTCACTCTCTGAATGTCAACAAGGATAGAACGAAGCTTGTGTCGACTTGTGTCATCAAATGGAAAGCACTTAATGGCTGCGTTCAGCAGAACGTTAATTTTGCAACTGTTGGAAGTTTTCTTTACATTGATTGAATTATACTTTTAGATCTAAAGGAATGATCCTATCTCAGCAGACAATCATAAAACGGTTGCAAAACTGTTGTGTTCTGCTGAACGTAGTCAATGGTTGCGTTCAGCAGAAAAAGCAGCAACTGTTGTAAAATTCTTGAAAGCTGCTTTCTCTGCTTTCTCTGGCTGAACGCAGCCAATGTTAAGGACAGTTATGCCAACTTAACGGAAAAAAATGACATATCATTAACGCGCGTTTTTCAAATAAGAAATTCCAGGTACTTTTTGAGCAGGGAATGGAAAGTTACTTTTTAAAAGTAACAAGTTACAATTACTCGTTACCGAGTAGGAAAAGTAACAAGTTACCGTTATTAGTTACCGATTTTTAAAAGTAACTCGTTACAGTTACCGTTA